CGATGTAAAATATACGTAACCTGTACATAAAAACACGACATAATTAATAAAATACATTCTCTTGATAATTAATTAATAATCACACTAAACAAAGGATATGTATTTTTACCAAAATGACGTCATGTTTACAAGTTCATGGCGATCAGTGCTTTGTCTATATCCAGCTACATGGGATTTAACAGGCAAGTTTTTTTTCAAATGCATTGATAAGTTTTATTGTTGTTTATTATGCGAATACAGTTAAAAGTTGCAAACTATTTCATTTTTAGGTACAATGAGAATAACATAAAAGTCATATTTTTGTGTGACGTCACAGTAAACGTTTCCCGTATAAATTAGGCCCTGCCCCCTTATTCAAGCCTTAACAATGCTGCGAGAAATCCTCAATTTATATATATTGAAAGGTCATTTAATTACTCACAAAATAATATTCAAACAAAAAGTACCAAAATATTACTTGCATTGTAAACTTGTTAAAAAGGCAAATGATATAAAATTGAACTATCATTCTTTCACAAATGTTAAATATCACTATCAGCATTTGAAATGAGATAGGCAAGTGTAGTATATACGTAACTACTTTTATTATAATATCAATTTTATTATATTAGTCATTGAAAAAGTGCACTTATTCTAAATACGGTTGCTTTCTGGATCCTGTTTAAAGGATCTTGTTGTAAGGAATTTTGGAAAGATTCTTGGGCTTCGGGGAAATTCCCACAAATTTGTTGACAGATTCCCAGTATTTGCCACGAAATATCTCTTAGGTAAAGAGGTACATTAGTCTCGTCATCATATAGCAGCAGGGTCTGTAGATCCTGTAGAGATTGTTGTGACCTGATTGTGTCACCCAGTCTGTGGAGATTCAGTGTAAACAACATGTGTAAAATCACTAGAGGTGGGATATGCAATGCTAGCTGACCATTATCGTAACTGGTCTTCTGCTCTAGAATAAGTTCATCAATGTATATGTACTCACTGTATAACACAATATCTGTCACTAAAGCAATCTTCATTTTACGAGACAGAGACATTTCAATCATGCAACGTCTGTATATATCTAAATAAACATGACCGTGGTATATAATGTATGGGAGTGTCATTCTGTCCTGTGCTTTCTGTAAACAACTGAGTGACTGTTCAAATCTGCATGTTCTGTAAAAATACATTGCAAGATATAGAACATCTGAGACACAACCTAATGTACATGACAGTTTTAACATTCGGGATACGTTACTATCTTTGTAATAAACCTTATTACTATTTTTATGTTGATATACATCACACACTTTCAGCATGGCAGTTTCACGTAATACCATTGATGTCATTAATTGTACTGTAGCCTCCTGGTATGGGGTCAACCTTTTACGTATCTCTATTTCAATGTTCTTCATGAAAGCTGCAAATTCTTCAACACTTGAAACACTTCGGTTATATTCACGGAATTCCTCAAATAAACTAATTTCATGCTCAGTGTTAGTGATGATACTTCTCTCGTCAGTACAGACTGTCAATGTTCTGTATAAAATGGCCTGACTGAGGTGCGATCTTAACGATTCACTCAGTAAAAGACTTGGTATACCCTTGCAATACAATTTATACAATTTATTAAACAATACTGTCTGTATGGATCCAGTTACTTTAAATTGAAACATATTGTTTTCCGGAATAAAAAAGTTTGGACATTCTCCAGTAAATACCCAATATATCAATAATTTAAAGCATTCCCAGAAACAAGGCAATAAGTTTTCTGGTGTCCAAGTCAAGAAGTTGTTAGTCTGGATTACCCAAAATACAACCGTTTTTGTGAAGTATGAACATAGAACTGGCGAATCTTCATTTAAATTAATAACTTCCTTGAGAAATATTTTAAACAGACCATAACATAAAAACTGAGTGTGATTCATTGAATAAACTAGTTTTTGTTCCGCCAGGGAGAATGAAATTCTCCATTCTAGTATACTTTCATCCGTGCTGCCGATAGGAACAACATGAAATCCTGATCTTAATATATCTGATAAAACTACCTCAGACGGCCAACCTTGTTGACGACACCTTTGTATCCATGGTAAAGCTATTGCCGGCCAGTGATGGGATTGGAAACAAAATGCACAATCTGATTCTACATTTCCCATGCAATACGTAGAACAAGGACCATGAGAGGTAGAAGAAGTGGTGAATTTAGTTCTTTGTAGTAACCGTAAGTGATTATCTCGGAATAATGTACTAGATATATTAATTTTGTTATTAATCTCTACACAGGAGGATATGACTATTTCATTATTTGATGGACTTGTCAGATTTAGTCTAGTAAATCCTGGGGGTAAATCATCACATTCCATCACGATGAAAGTGTGTTGTGGGATACGATAAAGGCTGATCTGTGAAAGATCACATAGCACCTTGTGGTCTGGAGGCCAAAACATCCAATCTACATCTGAAGTACTCAGTCTGAATCCCTCACGTCTACTCCCACTTCTCATTCTATCAAATCCCCTCATAATGTACACAGGTCTACTCACCACTTCCACAGTGTCCATCACTTCTCTCCTGATCCTCACCTCTGTAGGACTCCCTACTTCACGATACAGTCCTACGTACACAGACTCTGACAGGCGAGGTATGTGATCCATTTAGATGTATATTCTGAAATTGAAAGACAGTGTGTACATGTAAGTAGAAAGATGTCTTTATGATCTGTGTATTGTCATATTTCTCATTCATGTATGTACATTCATTTTACCAGTAACGTATTGGTTTCTAGTTACGTCTTAAACTCAACTCACATCTTTGGATTTCCAAATTTTCTTTGTTGTTTTTTTAAATTTGTATTTCTAAGCTTTTCAAATAGGTGGTATCAAAATTTCCCAAATATGAATGGTACAGGTACATAACTGTCAAAAATAACACCCCCTCCTGCATTGTGCCCTCTATTGTTGCTGACTTAATCAGTTAATAAATAAAACCGGTTGGTCGAAATTATTGTATAAATATACGTCAAAGAAGATTCTACATAAAGTATATATAAGTATTACTTGCTGATTTAAATGATTTTTTTTCTAAAACTAAACAATATGAAACATGTATCATTTTATGAGAGACTTTTAGTGACTTGCGTTGTTTAAATTATATCAACTATTTCATGTACATGTATTTGTCACACGTAATTTTCATGGAATATATTTTTGCTTGTAAATTGTTATAACGGTATATTCACTTTTGTCTGCTTTCCATGTTCTTGCATCTCGTAAAACGGCGTTGTTGTTGTTTTTTTTTTAAACCGTGATTCGAAACTTAAAAGAAAAACTAGAAATATGTCAATAGGACATGAATGCCCTGCCGAGGCAACATGAAAATTCGTATGTGTATAAAATTTGATCAGTTTGGTTCAGGTAGGGGTTATAGTTACTAAGGAATAAAAATATAGGTCAGATCAAGCATCCGAAGCAAGTCTGGTAGTGTCCATCTCTAGATGCATCATCCATGCAAGTTTGGTTCAGGTAGGTCTTAAAGTTACTAAGGAATAAAAATATAGGTCAGATCCAGCATCCGAAGCAAGTCTGGTAGTGCCCATCTCTAGATGCATCATCCATGCAAGTTTGGTTCAGGTAGGTCTTATAGTTACTTGGGAATGAAAATGTAGGTCAGATCCAGCATCCGAAGCAAGTCTTGTAGTGCCCATCTCTAGATGCATCATCCATGCAAGTTTGGTTCCGGTAGGTTTTATAATTACTTGGGAATGAAAATATAGGTCAGATCCAGCATCCGAAGCAAGTCTGTTAGTGTCCATCCCTAGATGCATCATCCATGCAAGTTTGGTTCAGGTAGGACTTATAGTTACTTGGAAAGAAAAATATAGGTCAGATCCAGCATCCGAAGCAAGTCTGGTAGTGTCCATCTCTAGATGCATCATCCATGCAAGTTTGGTTCAGGCAGGGCTTAAAGGTACTTAGGAATAAAAATGTAGGTCAGATCCAGCATCCGAAGCAAGTCTGGTAGTGTCCATCTCTATATGCATCATCCATGCAAGTTTGGTTTGGGTAGGGCTTATAGTTCCTTAGGAATGGACCTGCTTCAAAAACTTTAACCTGGTCACTCATCAGGAAAATGTAGGTCAGATCCAGCATCAAAAGCAAGTCTGGTAGTGTTCATCTCTAGATGCATCGTCCATGAAAGTTTGGATTGGGTAGGGCTTATAGTTCCTTGGAAATGGACCTTCTCCAAAAACTTTAACCTGGTCACTTATCTGGAAAATGTAGGTCAGATCCAGCATCCGATTTAGTCTGGTAGTGTTCATCTCTAGATGCATCATCCGTGCAAGTTTGTATCAACATGTGAAGTTTGCTAACACCAACCTGAATGGTATGTTCAAATCTGAGCTAAACACCAATTTAAGAAAAGTGAGGTCAAGGTCAAAAGAAAGGTCAGGGTAAAAAAAATGTTGATGCAGTTGCATAGCTCTCATCAATATCTATCAGCATACGAAGTTTGACTAGAAATATGTCCATAGGACATGAATGCCCCGCCGAGGATATATTAGTAAAGCAACATGAAAATTTGTATGTATATAAAATTTGATATGAATATCCTGAATAGTGATGCAGCTGAATTGCTTGTTTGGAAAATATAGGTCAGATCCAGCATCCGAAGCAAGTCTGGTAGTGTCCATCTCTAGATGCATCATCCATGCAAGTTTGTTTCAGGTAGGGCTTATAGTTACTTGGGAATACAAAAATTGGTCAGATCCAGCATCCGAAGCAAGTCTGGTAGTGTCCATCCCTAGATGCATCATCCATGCAAGTTTGGTTCAGGTAGGGCTTATAGTTACTTGGGAATGAAAAGGTAATTTAGATCCAGCATCCGAAGCAAGTCTAGTGGTGTCCATCTCTAAATGCATCAGGCAATCAAGTTTGGTCAAAGTAGGGCTTATAGTTTCTTAGGAATGAAAATATAGCTCAGATCCAGCATCTGAAGCAAGTCTGGAAGTGTCCATCCCTAGATGCATCATCCATGCAAGTTTGATTCAGGCAGGGCTTATAGTTACTTGGGAATGAAAATATAGGTCAGATCCAGCATCCGAAGCAAGTCTGGTAGTGTCCATCCCTAGATGCATCATCCATGCAAGTTTGGTTCAGGTAGGGCTTATAGTTACTTGGGAATGAAAATATAGGTCAGATCCAGCATCCGAAGCAAGTCTGGTAGTGTCCATCCCTAGATGCATCATCCATGCAAGTTTGGTTCAGGTAGGGCTCATAGTTACTTGGGAATGAAAATATAGGTCAGATCCAGCATCCAAAGCAAGTCTGGTAGTGTCCATCCCTAGATGCATCATCCATGCAAGTTTGGTTCAGGTAGGGCTTATAGTTACTTGGGAATGAAAATATAGGTCAGATCCAGCATCCGAAGCAAGTCTGGTAGTGTCCATCCCTAGATGCATTATCCATGCAAGTTTGGTTCAGGTAGGGCTTATAGTTACTTGGGAATAAAAATATAGGTCAGATCCAGCATCCGAAGCAAGTCTGGTAGTGTCCATCCCTAGATGCATCATCCATGCAAGTTTGGTTCAGGTAGGGCTTATAGTTACTTGGGAATGAATATATAGGTCAGATCCAGCATCCGAAGCAAGTCTGGTAGTATCCATCCCTAGATGCATCATCCATGTAAGTTTGGTTCCGGTAGGGCTTTTAGTTACTTGGGAATGAAAATATAGGTCAGATCCAGCATCCGAAGCAAGTCTGGTAGTGTCCATCCCTAGATGCATCATCCATGCAAGTTTGGTTCAGGTAGGGCTTATAGTAACTTGGGAATAAAAATATAGGTCAGATCCAGCATCCGAAGCAAGTCTGGTAGTGTCCATCCCTAGATGCATTATCCATGCAAGTTTGGTTCAGGTAGGGCTTTTAGTTACTTGGGAATGAAAATATAGGTCAGATCCAGCATCCGAAGCAAGTCTGGTAGTGTCCATCCCTAAATGCATCATCCATGCAAGTTTGGTCCAAGTAGGGCTTATAGTTCCTTAGGAATGGACCTGCTCCAAAAACTTTAACCTGGTCACTCATCTGGAAAATGTAGGTCAGATCCAGCATCCGAAGCAAGTCTGGTAGTGTTCATCCCTAGAGGAACAATAGCTCTCATCAATATCTTTCAGCATATGAAGTTTGATGAAAATATCTTGGATAGTTTCTTTGAAACTTAGCTCTGAACAGAGCTAAACGCAAAGTGTGACGGAAGGACGGAAGGACAGAAGGACGGAAGGACGGAAGACGGACATGACAAACACTATATGCCCCGGCCATATTCATGGCGGGGCATAATAAAAATATCTTGGATAGTTTCTTTGAAACTTAGCTAGCTTTGAACAGAGCTAAACGCAAAGTGTGACGGAAGACGGAAGGACGGAAGACGGACATGACAAACACTATATGCCCCGGCCATATTCATGGCGAGGCATAACAACACGTTGAACATAGTTTGGATGTTAAAATTTTATTCAAAAGTCAATTATTGTTTAACTTAATATTCTATCTTGTTATATATATACTAAATATTGATTACATACTCAATCTGGATTGATAACATAACGGAAAAATTTATTTAGACTAAATTCTTTAATTCGCACTTTCGTTTTCTTTGACTTGCACTTCCGCGTTAAACTAGGTCATTGTTTCAAATTGTAAATACTGTGGGACAAAATCATGCAGATATTACAAAAACACAATTAACACAGGGGTAGAATATTTATCCTTTTATTGTATTTACCTCATAAGATTTTTAAAACCCGTCACTGCGTTTTTCTAGAATATCTAAATTAAAAAAATATTCGATTCTAGCTGGCAAATATATATTGATCGTTACCGGTAAAACGACTGTATCAAAAAAAAAAAAAACAAAAAAAAAAACCCTCTTATTTCCTCCTTCTGTTGTTCAATATTCAAACAATGACCAGTTCAGGCAAGTAGCATCGTTTTTGAAAGTGGGAAGGGCCAACCTGTGAAAATTTTTTTTTACTTACCTAGCTGGAAAAGTTGACAAGCAAAAAAAAAAAAACGAAAATAAAAAGTTGCCCAAACACTATACTATGGTTATAAAGTGGGGGGGGGGGGGGGGGGGGCAACCATCCTATCAATGAACATTTACTACAGTAAAGGTTATGTTGGGGAAAAAAAGTGGGGGGGGGGGCAGGCCCCCCCCCCCGGTTGCTACGTCCCTGCAGTTTACATATTAATCTATGAAAGAATTGCTCTTTTGTATAAAACGGGTTCTTAATATCCTACCATATTTCAGTATACACGTTTAATAATATTTTGAAGTGCAGGTATAACTATAAAGTATAAAACATTATGTCAATCAAATAAATTTAACTGTATAGAACATACATACGTTGAATGTCACCGGCAGGGAGAATCTTCAACTGCAGGAAATCACCAAGGCCAGTCCCAACTTTCGGTTTGTAAAATAAATAGATAACCCCATTACTTGTAGTTTTTTTTTAATATATTCGATCAGTGCTTACTATCAGTTCAAGATATATTACTGTAGTCAGCGGCGACTCACACATGTAAAGGACAAGGTACGGTTTCAATACATATTATGGTCCTTTATTTTTCTAAAATATGGAAGTGATCTGAGAAATTAAAAGTCACCCTTTCGATTTTATTTAAATTCTATGCACATGATGCAGTAAAAACCACAGGCACCTGTAGTATGGATAATACCCCCCCTTTTTAGGTCACCTGAGTAAACTCAGGTGACCTATTGCTATCCGTTTTTGTCTGTCGTCGTGCGTCGTGCGTCGTGCGTTGTGCGTTAACATTTGAACATTTTCAGCTTCTTCTCTGCAACCACTGAACCAATTTCAACCAAATTTGGCACAAAGCATCTGTGGGTGAAGGGGAACATAATTTGTGAATTTCATGATCCCTGCCCCCTTGGGGCCTGAGGGGTGGGGCCAAAACCACTAAAATTAATGCAATCTTTAAAAATCTTCTTCTTTACTCCTGGACATCAAGCAGTCAAACTGTTTGCATGATTGTAATCAGCATTGAGTCCTCTACCAAATTTGTGAAATTCATGGCCCTGGGGTCAGGGGTTCTAGGGCTAGGGCGGGGCTAAACAGGTTATATAGTGAAAATGCATTATATCTTTGAAAATCTTCTTCTTTGCTCCTGGGCATTAAATAAACCAACTAAGTATATAGTTATGATGAGCAAGAGTGCCTCTACCAAAATTGTGAATTTTATGGCCCCAGGGTCAGGGGTTCTGGATTTAGGGCGGGGCTGTATTGATTAAATAGTGAAAATACATGATTTCTTTGAAAATCTTCTTCTCTGCTCCGAGGTATAAAATAAACTAACTTAGTGCATAGTTATGATGTGCAAGAGTGCCTCTACCAAAATTGTGAATTTTATGGCCCCAGGGTCAGGGATTCTGGTGTTAGGGCAGGGCTCTATTGATTATATAGTGAACATTCATGAATTCTTTGAAAATCTTCTTCTCTGCTCCTGGGTATTAAATAAACTTACTAAGTGCATAGTTATGATGAGCAAGAGTGCCTCTACTAAAATTGTGAATTTTATGGCCCCAGGGTCAGGGGTTCTAGTGTTAAGGGGGGGGGTGTTCTATTGATTATATAGTGAAATAACATGAATTCCTTGAAAATCTTCTTCTTTGCTTCTGGGCATTAAATAAACCAACTAAGTACATAGTTATGATGAGCAAGAGTCCCTCTACCAAAATTGTGAATTTTATGACCCCAGGGTCAGGGGTTCTAGGGCTAGGGCGGGGCTAAACAGGTTATATAGTGAAAATGCATTATTTCTTTGAAAATCTTCTTCTTTGCTCCTGGGCATTAAATAAACCAACTAAGTACATATTTATGATGAGCAAGAGTGCCTCTACCAAAATTGTGAATTTTATGGCCCCAGGGTCAGGGGTTCTGGATTTAGAGCGGGGCTGTATTGATTAAATAGTGAAAATACATGATTTCTTTGAAAATCTTCTTCTCTGCTCCGAGGTATAAAATAAACTAACTTAGTGCATAGTTATGATGTGCAAGAGTGCCTCTACCAAAATTGTGAATTTTATGGCCCCAGGGTCAGGGATTCTGGTGTTAGGGCAGGGCTCTATTGATTATATAGTGAAAATACATGAATTCTTTGAAAATCTTCCCTCTGCTCCTGGGTATTAAATAAACTTACTAAGTGCATAGTTATGATGAGCAAGAGTGCCTCTACTAAAATTGTGAATTTTATGGCCCCAGGGTTCTAGTGTTAAGGGGGGGGGGGGGTGTTCTATTGATTATATAGTGAAATAACATGAATTCCTTGAAAATCTTCTTCTTTGCTTCTGGGCATTAAATAAACCAACTAAGTACATAGTTATGATGAGCAAGAGTCCCTCTACCAAAATTGTGAATTTTATGACCCCAGGGTCAGGGGTTCTAGGGCTAGGGCGGGGCTAAACAGGTTATATAGTGAAAATGCATTATTTCTTTGAAAATCTTCTTCTTTGCTCCTGGGCATTAAATAAACCAACTAAGTACATATTTATGATGAGCAAGAGTGCCTCTACCAAAATTGTGAATTTTATGGCCCCAGGGTCAGGGGTTCTGGATTTAGAGCGGGGCTGTCTTGATTAAATAGTGAAAATACATGATTTCTTTGAAAATCTTCTTCTCTGCTCCGAGGTATAAAATAAACTAACTTAGTGCATAGTTATGATGTGCAAGAGTGCCTCTACCAAAATTGTGAATTTTATGGCCCCAGGGTCAGGGATTCTGGTGTTAGGTCAGGGCTCTATTGATTATATAGTGAAAATACATGAATTCTTTGAAAATCTTCTTCTCTGCTCCTGGGTATTAAATAAACTTACTAAGTGCATAGTTATGATGTGCAAGAGTGCCTCTACTAAAATTGTGAATTTTATGGCCCCAGGGTCAGGGGTTCTGGTGTTAAGGGTGGGGGGGGGGGCTCTATTGATTATATTGTGAAATAACATGAATTCCTTGAAAATCTTCTTCTCTGCTCCTGGGTATTAAATAAACTAACTAAGTACATAGTTATGATGAGCAAGAGTCCCTCTACCAAAATTGTGAATTTTATGACCCCAGGGTCAGGGGTTCTAGGGCTAGGGCGGGGCTAAACAGGTTATATAGTGAAAATGCATTATTTCTTTGAAAATCTTCTTCTTTGCTCCTGGGCATTAAATAAACCAACTAAGTACATATTTATGATGAGCAAGAGTGCCTCTACCAAAATTGTGAATTTTATGGCCCCAGGGTCAGGGGTTCTGGATTTAGAGCGGGGCTGTATTGATTAAATAGTGAAAATACATGATTTCTTTGAAAATCTTCTTCTCTGCTCCGAGGTATAAAATAAACTAACTTAGTGCATAGTTATGATGTGCAAGAGTGCCTCTACCAAAATTGTGAATTTTATGGCCCCAGGGTCAGGGATTCTGGTGTTAGGTCAGGGCTCTATTGATTATATAGTGAAAATACATGAATTCTTTGAAAATCTTCTTCTCTGCTCCTGGGTATTAAATAAACTTACCAAAAGCATAGTTATGATGTGCAAGAGTGCCTCTACCAAAATTGTGAATTTATGGCCCCAGGGTCAGGGGTTCTGGTGTTAAGGGTGGGGGGGGGGGGGGCTCTATTGATTATATTGTGAAATAACATGAATTCCTTGAAAATCTTCTTCTCTGCTCCTGGGTATTAAATAAACTAACTAAATGCATAGTTATGATGAACAAGAGTGCCTCTACCAAAATTGTGAATTTTATGGCCCAAGGGTCAGGGATTCTGGTGTTAGGGCGGGGCTCTATTGATTACATAGTGAAAATACATTAAATCTTTGAAAAATTTCTTCTTTGCTCCTGGGTATTAAGCAGATGAACTACCTATATAGTTATGATGAGCAAGAATGCCTCTTTGAAAATTATAAATTTTAGCCCCAGGGTCAGGGATTTCAGTGTTAGGGCGGGGCTCTATTGATTATATTGTGCAAATACATTAAATCTTTGAAAATTTGCTTCTTTGCTCCTGGGTATTAAGCAGATGAACTATATAGTTATGATAATCTTCCAGAATTGTGAATTTCAAGGCCCCAGGGTCAGGGGTTCCATAGAGGGGGGGGGGGGGCTGTATGTATATACTGAAAATATAATGTATGATGAATTGTTTGAAACCTGCTCCTTGGTATTAATCAAATATTTTTGAAAAGCAAGAATGCCTGTACAAAAATTGTTCAATGTGTGGATCTAGGCCTAAGGGTCAGGGGTTCATGTGTGGTAGGGACACTACTGATTATTGCTTAATATTACTGATTAGTTGAAATGCATTTTTTGTTCTCCTACCCTGCCTATGGGTATTAAGTAACCAAACTAAGCAACTGCTAAGTGTATAGTTATGATGACCAATGGACTTCCAGCTCTTTCAAAATTGTGAATGCCATAGCATCTGGCTTAAAATATGAATCAAATTCAATCACTGGAAAGTTGTTGCATAATGCTCAGGTGACCTATAAGGCCCATGGGCCTCTTGTTTTTAATGAAAAAAAATGTAAGAGTGTATAATATCTCAAAAATATAAAATTTCCCCGTCAAACACATCTATATGTCGATATATGCATGCAGATTGTACTTTTTCTCACGTTTAAAGAATGGCCTTATTCGGTATAATAACGTATTTTTATTATACCGAATAAGGCCATTCTTTAAACGTGAGAAAAAGTACAATCTGCATGCATATATCGACATATAGATGTGTTTGACGGGGAAATTTTATATTTTTGAGATATTATACACTCTTACATTTTTTTTCATTAAAAAAAAGGGGGGGTATTATCCATACTACAGGTGCCTGTGGTAAAAACATGAAAATCGTTTTTCCAATATAACCTCCTATATACTTATTGTGACTCCCTGAACTTGAGCATTTCCCTTATTTTCCTAAAAGGTTACAAA